GCCAAGGAAGAGCAGAGAGTCTCTGGGGTAAGGTAGGGCAGGGGGCTCCACCTGGAACACAGGGCTAGATCAGGCCCTAAGCCACCTTGGTCCCCATAGCTCCGTATTCTTACCCTACGCTCTGTCAGGTGTAACCTGTGGACCAGGAGCCTTTTTGTTTCTGACTTTGGTGCCCACCTGTGCTACGTGAGAATGACAGAACCGCTTAAGCTGCTGAGTGCTGGTTCCGTGCTGAGCAATTTGCTGCATGATCCCATCTAATTGTCCGACTCTGTGAAGTCAGGTCCCTTTATTTGCACCACCTGACCCATGCCTCAGTGCTGCATTTCCCTCACAGTACTTACTGCTCTCCGAAATAACCGTGTCTGTTTGCTTTCATGTCCGTGTCTAGCCCCCGACTGTCCAAAACCTCTGGGAGGTCAGAGCCTTCTCTGTCTTGCCCACTACTGTGTCTCCAGATCCTTGGATTGTGCCTGGCTCCATGAGCCTCTCAAGAAATGCTTAACAAATGATGGTGGAATGAATTAACCTTCGTTTTCTCAAAAAGGAAACTGAGGCCCACAGAGGACAGGTCTGTCCCTTGGTTGTACCGCCAGAGCAGGATTGGAGCCCCTGCCTGTCCAGGGTCAGCGGGGCCTGTCTCACTGACCGGCTTTGAGCCTGGAAGTCCAGATGGGCCTGTCCGCGTCCCTGCAGGTTCACACCGCCTAGAGAAACTTCCAGTCCAACTTGTGGCTTTGGATCGGCTCAGAAAAAGTGTGTCCTGTGACTGCTCAAGGAATCTGGGCATTTAGCCCAGAAAAGAGTGTGTTTCCTGGCTTCCTGAGGACTGGGGCCCACCCTGCCCCCAGCCTGGGCGTGCAGAATGGGAGGGGGGGAGAGGGAGTCCAGCCCTGGAAGGCAGCAGTGTCGGGTCTTATCATCGGAGTGAGGCTTGCGGCCCACGCCACGACGGCCCCGGCTGAGAACTGCGGGAGAGCACGTTCCCAGGGTCCAGAGCGTCCTCGGCCACATCGAGTTGCTGGAAGAGACGTTCCTCACGCTCACACGACAGTTGGTCCTGGGCTGCTCTCCTGGCACTGGGTATCACGGGGCACACGTGGGCACGCCGTTCCCCAGGCACGGCGACCGGCGTCCACCGGGTCATCTGGCTGGGCTCAGGCTTATGAGGGGACCCTGGAGAGAGCTGGCGTCGTCGGCCTGTGGAGTCTGCACACCGTGCTAGTTTCACAGTTTGCTTTTTCCATGAGAGGGGTCAGTGCGTCTCACTCCCTCCCCTCCTCTTCGTTTTTATTCTCTTTTCCCCTTCACCAGGGGGCTGCCTCATCGACCGGCCTGGGGACCCCTCCCTCGGGCTGGGAGATGGCCCCGTCCCCAGAGGGGTTAACGGGAATGACCCTCGGGTTCACCGGTCACGTTTCTGAGAGGGAGAAAAGCCCCTTTTCTGTATGTACAGGAGAGTGGGGGAGGCCAGCCGCACTTCTCAGCCAGGATTGAGAAAAGTCACCAAGCACGGTGGCTGCAATTCACTGATTCCCAAATCCCAGACCCAGGCCAGGCCCGGGGCTGTCTGAAGTCCCCACCAGTCCCTGGTGAAGTAAGGACAGGAAAGGACTGGCCTGGCATTAGCTACTTCTGTGTCAGGTGTCTTTTCTTTTATGAAGGGTGGTGATAATCGATGGAAACTTTATTTTACATGCCAGAAAAAGTTGGCAACCTTAAGACTGTCTTTGAAATGTGGGGGAAGCTTTTCAAGCCTGTGAGATTCCCAGGCCCGGGAGCCACTGATGCGCTTCCTCTGCACACCAGAGGCGGGAGTGGAGCCCAAGGGAGACTCAGTGCCTTGAGGACTGTCAGGCCATGGCCACCTGTGACCCCCGGCTCGCCCTGGTATGGGGTGGGGTGTATTAGCTTGCTAGGGCTGTTAATACAAATGATCACAAACTGGGTGGCTTAAAACAACAGATTTGTTCTCTCCCCGTTCTGAAGGCCAGATGCCTGAAATCAAGTTGTCGCAGCCTCGGTTGCTGCTGGAAGCCCTGAGGGAGAATTTGTTTCGTGCTTCTTCTTGGCTTTGCCGGAAGCCAGCAGTCCTTGGAGTTCCTTGGCTTGTAGACACCTCACTCCAGTCTCTGCCTCTGTTGTCACTTGGTGTTCTTCCTTGTGTGTGTCTGTGTCCAGTTTCCCTCTTCTATAAAGACACGAGTCATTGAGTTAGGGCCCACCCCAATCCCATGTGACCTCACTACTTCCAAAGGTCACTCACATCCCCAGTTTCCAGGTAGACATGAGTTTTATGAGGACACTATTCAGCCAGGTACAGGGGGCACAAAAGATGAGGACAGGCCAGCAGATCCAGGAAGCCTGGTGACATTCCCAGGGAGGAAGCAGATACACACAGGAGCCAAGTCCAGGCTGGGGCTGCTGGGGCAGGTTGTATCACCCCATGTGAATCGACTCAGGGAAGAGCTGGGGTCCCCTGACTCCCTGCGTCCTAGACTTGTCGATATGCTTTAATACAGGCCCCCAAGACAAGTGGATGAGTAGATTAGTCTTCAGCACGATGGGTTTTTTTTTTTGGCACAGACCATCAGCATAGAGTCCTTTGGCAGCCTCAGCCAGGACAACTGAGGGCTGAGAGCCTCTGAGCGCTTGGCACAAGCTGCCAGCCCTGGCCTTGTTCCTTTGGCCTGGAGTGGCCCCTCCCGGTCATGACAGGGCTCCCTCATTCCTGGCAGGGCCCACCAGTGGCCTCCCCTGCTTTGTGGGTAAAGGACAGCCCGTAGGGTGGGAAGGAGGGAATCCAGCCACCTCCGTTCCCCAGGGGCCCTTATCTATTTGGCAAAGGCTCTGTGGTCAGGCATTTCCACCCGATACCTCCTAGCTGAGTGATCTTGAGTGAGGAGTCCCAGAGCCTCTCTGAGCCTCACTTCTCCGCCCCTGTGAAGTGGGAGCAGCAGTTCCAGCCCTGCCTGTCTCGGGAGGACTAAGGACAAGGAGGTGAGTTTGAGGTTTTTGTTTTGTTTTGTTTGAGACAGAGTCTCACTTTGTTGCCCAGGCTAGAGTGAGTGCCATGGCATCAGCCTAGCTCACAGCAACCTCAAACTCCTGGGCTCAAGCGATCCTCCTGCCTCAGCCTCCCGTGTGGCTGGGACTACAGGCATGCGCCACCATGCCCGGCTAATTTTTTCTATATATATATTAGTTGGCCAATTAATTTCTTTCTGTTTATAGTAGAGACGGGGTCTCGCTCTTGCTCAGGCTGGTTTCGAACTCCTGACCTCGAGCAATCCGCCCGCCTCGGCCTCCCAGAGTGCTAGGATTACAGGCGTGAGCCACCGTGCCTGGCCGAGTTTGAGGTTTTGACATCCTTTTGTGAGCCCTTCCTGTGCCTGGCACGGGGCCTGGCACACTGTAGGTGCTTGGTAAATACTCACTGAATAAGTGAGTATCTTGGAGCTTGGAACCTGAGATCAGGCCTCAGCATGGCCTTTGGCAGAAGGAGGTTCTGTAGGCATTCCCTTCCCCTGTCCTGTGGACGCAGCTGAGACGACCGGGGCAGAGGTGGGGAGGCCAAGCGCGTGTGTGTAGTGCTGGGTGGAGCACACGTGTGGCCGAGCTGTACCTCCGGCTTTGATGCCCCACATGGCCCATTAGTAAGATTCCCCCCAGGCCTGGTACCGTGGGAGCAGGGCGGCATGCAGGACGTCTCTGGATGGGGCCCTGGCTCTGTGCCAGCCATGAGCAGGTAGTCGAGGTGCCTGCCCTGTGGATCCTACTTCTGGAGTCCCCTCCCCTCCGCAGACCTGGTGCCACCACTGCCATTCTGGCCTCTAGCGCATAGCTGAGTGCTGCACTTGCCTGGCCGCCAGGCCTTTGCACAGGTTGTGCCCTCTGCCCGGAGTGTCCTGTCCACGTTCCTCTGCCCAGAGCTCTTTCCTGTCCTGAGGAAGCACCCCCACGCCCCCAGGGAGATTACTCGTGCCTGTATCCACACCCCGGTGTGCAGCGCGGCAGTCATGGCGGGTTACAGTTCTTGGTTTATGAGGCTCCAGTCTCTAAACAGCCCCACTGAGGATGGAGATGGGTCCCCCTTGCCTGGCACAAGATAGGTGCTGTGCCCTGAGGGCGTTTGTTGATTGAGCGACCAAATAATTGAATCATTTCTCTGCTCTGTGCCAAAGGCTTCCTCATCTTTGAAATATAGGGTGTTGGCCTGGTGTATTCTCAAGGGTCTTTGTGAGGCGTCTGGTGAGACACGAGACCTCAGCTGAGTGGACTTGGGGTCTTCACTGCTCCCAGAGTAGCAGGGTGGTGGCAGTGATGGTGTGCATGTTTAGGGATTGTTCGATGCTGACACAACAGTGTGAATGAAGCTCGGGATGTTGTGGGTGTTCAACACAAAACTCCCAGTTACCGGATTCCTGTCTGAAAAGGCAGGGCTGAGGCAGCCACTGTGGTTATCCTAACTACGTTGCCCCGTAGAACTTTCTCTGCACTTCCATGTCTGGTGAGAGTGCCCCGTAATGAGACAGACAGCGGGTTCTGCTGGGATTCATGCCCAGCTTTGCATGACACAGGCTGGCACCAGATTTCAACCCCACCTCTGCTGTCTCCCAGCTATGTGAATTTGCACCTCTTTTAGCCTCAGTTTCCTCATCGGCAAGATGAAGGCGGTAAATGCCCGCCTCTTGGGGTGAGCCCGTGGGCCCAGGTGCGTGGCGTAGTCTGTGTGGCATGCAGCGGGAGTGCGGGATTTCGTGGCTGTCGTTAGCACGAGTATTCCTTACTCTAGAGAGGAGAGCGGAACGGAGACCGGCAGGCAGTTTAAGCCAAAAGATGTCTGTTGTCTGCAGAATTTTGTTTTGGAAGACAAGCCCAGGTTTTGGGTCAGAACCATAGCCCCGTGGGAATTGCACGGCTGAGCGTCCAGGCGTATGTTAAAAGCTTAGTGACCACCCAAGCCTTTCAGCCTTCCACGTGGACGCTCCGAGGTCGAGCTTCTCGGGAACCCGGCGCACAGCTGGGGTGCTTGTCGCGCCGGTAGCACCGTTTCCGCAGAGGGCTGTGTCTGGCTATGAATAGACCTTTTTTTCTCTCTTTCCTGGTTGCCTGAATGGCAGTCTCCCTCCTGCGGTCCCGGAGGCTGACCCGAGCGTGAAACTCCAAAACGGACATCAGAGTGGGGTCGTCCGTTCCTGCTCGGACTCAAGGCTCTCAGCGAGGCTCAAAGAGGTGGGTCGATGGCCGCTGTGACCCGGGGAGCCTCCCGAGGGTCTCCCGGGCTCTGGTTTGCAAATGCTGCTGAGTGAACTGGAGAAATCAGAGTTCACGGAAAAGCAGCAGATGGGAGCGGCAGCCGAGGCTGAGGAGGGTGGTTCAGTGTCTCCAAACATAGGCCTGCTGGCTCTGTGGCGTCCGGGCCACAGATGTGACGCCGTTAGAACAGGAAGGGCGCTAGACAGCAGCCAGTGCCTGCTGCGTCCCGGAGGGCCGTGCCACGCAGTGGTCAGCAGAGTGGATTCTGGAGTCACGTGACCTGGGTTCAAATCCCAATTCCTCCACCTGAACTGGGATGCACACCTTATGCCTCAGTTTTCCCCTTCTGCAAAATGGAGATAACAATGGACCTGTCTCACAGGGCTGTTTTGAGGGTTAAGTATGTTAACAACATTTAAGCACACAGAACAATTCTTGGTACGTAGTAAATACAAGGGTAAACTGAGGCCCAGAGAGGGCAAGGGACTCGGCAGCAAGTCACTGGGGCGGCCAGGGCTGAAACTCATGATTCCTAGTCTCGTGGACAGTTCCCTCCTCCCCTTCTTCCCCCTCAGTCAGACTTTTTCAACCCTGCCTCTTGCAAAGGAAATCGCGTGACCCTGCAGCCCACAAGAATTCAGACTGCACAGAATGTCTGAAACCTCTCCGGGCTGGCCGGGGGCCTCGCCGCAGTGCTATTCAGCTGCGAGTTCTTCCCCCGGCTTTCTTTTAAAGCTCTGTGGGGTCTCCATTTTCTCGTCCACACAAATAGAAATATTAACCTCTTGACAAAGGAGTTTGAGGACTTACGTCCCTGCTTTGTCCCTGAAGTAAGCCCCCTGCCAACCTTCGTCTCCCTGTCCATGAAATGAGGAGGTGTCCCCTATTGACAGGGAGGTGGTCCCACTGCCAGTCTGTGATTACTGCGGGGATGCCGAGAGGTGCCACGGGGAACACAGGTCCCGTTGATGGTCGGGCTGAGTGCTGATTAAACAAAATCTAGTGACGCATTCTTCCAAGGAGTGAAGTGAAACCCACCAGAAATGCTGCCTGCTTCCGCCCACCTCCTCGTGTCAAAGGTGGTTTGAGTCATCAGAGCTGCCTGCACTTTTCTCGCTCTGCTGTTTCATGGAAATGTTCCTCAGCCAGTGGTGCTGGCCTGATTGCCAGAAGTGTCCCATCTGTGGGCCCCAAGGTGTCAGACCTGAGGGGCTAGGTCGCTTCCTGACTTCTGCTGGGCACCCCAGCTGCAAGCGCTGGAAGCTGCCAGCTCAGGGTGCAAATCCAGTCTGTTAACATTTGAGGAGGGACTTCCCCTTTCTGAGCTTCAGTTTTCTCATCTGTGAAATAGGTGCACTAGCCCTGCCTCAGTCCCCTCTTCCTTCCTGCCCGAGAGGCTCTGGCTCACCTGGGCTGCAGCTGGGGCAGAGCAGATGTCGATACACCTGAGTTCTCCCTGGCCATAGGGGACAGAGGGACACTTGGCCAGGCCAGGAAGCTCTTGGACATCAGGGTCCAGAGCATCTGGAGTGCAGCCCTTTCGGGCTTTTGTTGGGGATTTCAGGGCACAGAGGGGACAGGCCTGAAGCAGGAAGGTCACACAGCCAAGACTGGAACCCAGGATCCTAGACCTGGAGTTCCCCCAGCTGCCGGGTCCTCCTGTCCTCTTTGGGCTCACTTTCGGGTGGTCCAGGCACCATCAAGGGCCAGCCTGGTTGGGCCTGGGAAATCAGAGGTGGGCGCCATGGTGGGCCGGCAGCAAGAGCGGCAGACCCTGGGCTAAGCCCCGCCTCACTGTCCCCTGCCACAGGCCTTGGGCAAGTCACACCCACCCCTGAGCCCCCATTCCCTCACCCCAACAATGGGCATCGTGCCTGCTCTGCCCACCTTTCAAGGTTGTCATGAGGCTTCCTGAGATGGTGTGGGCAAAATCCCTCCACAGACCATCAAGAATTGCCCAGAAGAACTTGTCATGTCACCTGTGACAGGTACAGAGTATGTGGTCAGTGAGTGATGAATAAATGAATAATAGTTATTATTGATCAACTATTGGTATTAATACTGATATTAACGATAACAATATTAATGGTAGCTACCTAGTAGCTACATCCCAGACATCACCCAGGGAAATTTCCATAAGGTGCTGTAGTCCTCAAAATAACCCCAGGAGTTAAGGGGGGCCCATTTTACAGATAGGGAAGCTGAGACTCAGAAAGCGAAATGACTAACCTCAGGGCACACAGCAAGTGGTTGAGGAAGTCAGGACCCACAGCTTTGATTCTTCAGTCCCTGTGTCCTTCCAGATAGCCCCTGGGACACCACTCACTGGGGTACGCTGGTGAGTGTTTAACAAACAGCTTCAGGGCGAGGGAGATTTGTATAAACCCCTGACTTGTAGTATTTGCCAGTTTCCATGATGTAAATATTCCTACTGTGGCTGATTTCAAGCAACCAGTGTGATATCAGCTGTCTCACAAAATCCCTGAAAATTTAACAAGCAGCTCCCCTGAGCCAGTATTTTCCAGCTTAGCGCACCTCTGTCCCCAGCCCAGCCCCTCTGCACAGCCCCTCGTGTGCCCAGGGACGGCCACAGTGATGGGAGAGTGCCGCAGGCTGAAACGGCAGACTGGATCTGCCGGTGGCTTGGGTGGGAATGCCTGCGCCTCCCAGCCCCGAGCCCTCCCCGCCAGAGGCCCCTGGGGCTCCTGGGGTCTCAGTGTCACACAAAGACTTGGTCAGACGATGAGACCCGAGGATGGATCTGCAACACTGCGACTGGAATATTAAGGCCTCCCAGCCCCACCGTGTGTGATATTCCTGCCAGCCCGGAGCAGAGCCCTGTAAACACCAGGATATAATGGACAATAAAAGTCGCCAGAAAATAGTGACTCTCCTAGGACCACTGTCATCCCTGCCACATGCCGCCTGCCGGAACCACGTGCCCTGTGATCATGAGGCAGGAGCGTCATGTAAATATATAGGGTATCTCGCCAGCGGCAGGCCGAGATTTATTTTATTGAGACAGCGGGGGGAGGGGACCGCTCAGGTTCATTGCCCCGGTGACTTTGTGAAATGCTTTGCCATCACTTCCCAGTGTTGGGAGGCTGAAGCAGGAGCTGGTGTGGCCTCTCTCCTCCTGACACAGGGGTCCCCCCAGGGGCCCTGGACGCCTCCTGCCACATCCACAGGCCCAAGGGCCTGGTTGTCCACGAGACTGGGGGCCCCTAGAAAGTGGGTTGCCAGGGATACTTGGTGCAGAGGCGTTGCTGCTGAGTGAGTACTGGTGGTTTATGATGACAGTGATCATAATGATACTAGGGGCCCCATTGATTACGCTCTTGTGTCTCCCTGGGCCCTGCTAGTCCTGGGCTGGTGTTGCATCTGCATGTAAAATATCTCACTTGAGCCTCACAACAGCCCCGCAAGCCACGGCCTCCGGTTTACAAAGGAGGGAGCTGCAAAGAGGTGACCACGGAGGCAGCCCCCCCCCACCGCCTCGCTGCCTGCCCTGCCGGTCCCCGTCAGATGTACGGCCTCCCTGAGGCCCCTGGAGCGCCCCAAGTTGGAATCAGTGGCCCCTTCTGTGATTCTGCCACACAGCTGAGCACTTTGCTCCGGCCCACCCCACCCCATTTGCTCCTTCTCGGAGGGCAGGAGCCTCTGTACGCACCGCAGAGGGGTCCAGGCGAGGACTCGGGCCTGCTTTTCCCCCACGCTCTGCCTCCCTCCAGCCGGGACGCCTCCCGCGGGTCACATGACCTCTCTGAACCTCAGTGTCCTCCTCTGTCAGATGGCACACCGTCTGCCTGTGGTTGCTTTGTGAGCACACAAGCTGCTGATCGCCCTGAGGGATGCGGCCTTGCACCTGGCACTTGGGGGGTGCTCTGTATGCAACACCCCTAAATGCGCACCACCTCCATGGCTTGTGTCTGGGAGCCCAGGAGGTGTCTGCTCTGTGCCTCTGTGTGGCTGTGGCTCGCTGTGCACAGTGTTCAGGGGATAGAAAGCTCAAGAAGTGTTCCAAGGCCACGGGCCCAATCAGCAATCCCAGACCCAGGAGATCCCGTTTTCTCGTGCCCAGGAATGGGCACATGGATAGACACGTGATCCTCAAGCTGAGGTTCGGAGCACCCCAGTGAGTCACAAATCTCCCGTCAGCTTTATAAAAAAATACCGGCATAAGAAGGGTCCTCTGTGGAGTCCGACCCACCCATATAGTAGGTGGGGAAGCTGAAGCCCAGAAACAGGCCTCAGTTTCCCCACCGTGCTGCCCTGTGAGAGTCCAGGCCAGGTGAGTTCTGGGCCACAGCACCACACACACCACGACTCGGAGCCGTCACTCACGGGCAGTTAAAGGCAGCCACGTTCTTCCCAGACCCGCCTCTGGGCTTCAGCAGGATCCTGGGGAGAGCCACACGGGAAGGGGCGGGGGGCGCCTGGTGTGGCCCCAGGACACCGTGTTGGAGGCGGGACTGGATGAAGACGACGCTGTCGCCCGGGTGCACCAAACCCCGCTCTGCCACTTGGAGATTGTGCTGGGGCTTGTGGTGATGACGCTCGGGAGGCCCCAGTCTGGCCCGTCACCCCCTAGCGGGGCCGTGGAGGACACAGGTCTGTGGCCGCCGCCTCGGCGGGTGCTGCACGCACCAGGGCCTGGGAACGGCTGGCCTGGGCCCAGCAGAGGGGGCTGGCACCTGGCATATGCCCGCAGTCGGCCCAGCCAGGCCAGCGGGAAGGTGTGTGGCAGGTGGCCGAGCCCAGTGCCAGGATCTCACTCGGCGCGTCCTTCGAGGCCTCAGTTGCCATATGCCGCCATCAGTCCCAGTGGCGGTGGGGCTGCAGATGGGTCATGGGGGTGCTTTGCCCAGGGTCGAGGGGCTCTCCTTCTGAAGGAGGGGGCAGGTGCTGGCCGCGGAGAGCTCTCCTTAAGGACTGGGGGTAGGGCTGGCCCGTGGCACCCAGACTTCCTCCCACAG